CTTTGTCAACAAAAGTATACAAAAATTATCAAATAAATGTGACGGAATACTTCAATGTTTATACATTTTTACACTGTTTCTATGCAATACGCACGCTTACCCAGTCGATCAGCCATACTGGCATATAACTGTTCACTGATGCACGAAAATGGATGTCGATGGCAATCGACTTCGCAGAAAAATTTTGCCCAAGACATCCATCCCATTGGTGGAGTTCTGCAAAGAAATTACCAACTAGCATTATTTGCACAGAAGAAAGTACAGTTTTCATCAGCTAATATTGTGAATAACACTATGCACAACTGTAATGTATAAATCTAAGTAGAATAAATTTTTATAAAAGCAGATATAGAAAAAGAAAACACTAATTAACTTACCTCGCCAGTCCATTATCTAACGATAATGTTGGTATTGTTACTAAAAAACTGAGGAATAACAACCGCAACATATCTGACTGGTTAGCAGACCTATAAAATCAAAATGATATCAGGTATTACGTAACCAAGTAACCACCATCAACGCTAACAGCTACGTTTTCGTTGCTCTGTACGACTACAACGAGTGACATCAAAAGGTATATGCTTGGATATATCAGGCATTTCGCCAAGCGTTATAAGACTACGAAATGCTGGCCGTGTTTGTTCACTAATTATCTATTTGTCTTTTTTCAAAATTTTTTAATAACCGTTATCAGCAGTTTATATGGTATTATGCCATCAAACTGGTTACATCAATCGTTTGAAAGTTAAATATCAACTCTGTCAGTTTGTACCAAACTAGTAGGAAGGATATTGTTGTAGACAATTACTATGTTTGACATGATGTTTGGGCTTACACATTGATGTTCGTTGTCTTAATTGTCTTAATCGATATAATTGCTCAATTTGGACAACCAAATGATCGGATCAAAAATGATAATTAAAAAAGATTAATGGCACACAATGTTCGAAATAACGGTTGATTTAAAGATAGTGAATGTCGCATGAAATCTCAGTCTAGTTTCAAAAATTGTTGATAAATCCAATAAACATCAACTGTTTAATCTGATCAAATATCAACTAGTCAGAGATGTGGAGAAATATGAGAGATGGAATAGTGAGGAGATGTGGAGGAGAAGAAGGAAATGGAGAGGGAAGTGGAATTCTGTATAAATTACTGGTATTTGTTTAGTTTTGTAATAATTTTTAGTCTTATAATCAGCGGATTTTCAAGAAAATTGATCATATTTGATCGATTGTTGTTGATTTTCAGCAACCAATTTTCTGTCTAAAATTTTTCACTCAGTGAAAAAGCGCATTATTTTTCTCATAAATCACCACGAATA